TGGCCATATAGGCCAGAGTGGAACTGCTCCATAGGACTTCCAAGGCTGTACTCTTTACAGAAGGAGCTCTGGTAGTGTAGTGGTTATGAATTGGGCTGCGAACCACAAGGTCAGCAGTTCGAAACTACCAGCTGGTCCACAGGAGAAAGATGAGGCTTTCTGCTCCTGTAAAGATTTACAGCCTCAGAAACCCTGTGCAGGGTCACTATGAGTCTGAACCAACTCCACGGCACATAACAACATCAACAATCTTTACAGAAGGGAGTCCTGGTGTGGCACTGTGGGTTAATGCGCCAGACTGCAAAGCCTTTTGAACTGCAAGGTCGGTGGTTCAAGCTCACCAGCTGCTCCTTGGAAACCCTATACAGGGTCAGTATGGGTCGGAACCAACTTGATGGCACTTGACAACAACAACGATCTTTACAGAAAGGAGCTCTGGGAGCACAGTGGTTACGAGTCTCGCTGCTAACCTCACGGTCAGTAGTCTGAAACTACCAGCTGTTCTGCAGAAGAAAGATGAGCCGTTCTGCTCCTGTAAAGATATACAACCTCAGAAACTCTGTACATGGTTGCTATGAGTCAGAACTGACTCCACCATCACCACCAACCTTTACAGAAGCAGACTGCCACAGTTTTCTCCCATGAGGCAGCTGTGAGTTCAAACTGCCTGCCAACCTTTTAGTTAGCCACCGATCACTTAACTACCAGCGCTCCTTAAATTCCCAGTTTCCCAAATGGATGACCTTCATGAAGAGAGCATCTATGAAGCTGAGAACAATTCACGAATTGTCACAAAGTTCAGAGGCCGGAAAAGAGAAGTTCAGGCAACAGTACAATAATCAACTCTAAGGAAAACAAACAAAACTCTTACCCTGCTATAGAAGAGAAATGATAAGGACGGATGTTGGGTTCTTGGTGTGTGATGATGGCTTGTTTCTAAAGCCAAATGAGCTATCTGCATCAAAAGCCATTTAGAAAATATTATGGGACAGGCATTAACAAAACTTGGTCAAATAATATAATTTGATAGAGACAACTTTTCCATTTTCTTCTTTTAAAAAGTGTGTCAGAAGTATGAATACAGAATGAAACTAGGTGTGTTTGTGCCTGTCTCTTTCGGTTCAACCAGCAGAGACCCAAGTACAGTCACGTGACTGGTGCCTTTAAGACATTGGTGAATCTGAAGGACAGAAGGTAGTGGAACAAAGGGGTAAAAAGCTTCCCTTTGTGGCAATATATGTTGAAAGCCTCTTTATAAATGGTTGTTGGGATAGGCTATATGACATAAGGACTGTGGTGCTCACTAGGAGCCCTGGCGGTGCTAAGGGTACCACTGGACTGCTGATCACAAGGTTGGTACTTCAAACCCCCAGCTGTTAAGTCGTCCATCCATTTATTCATTCCTTGATTCACTCAATGTATATTTTTCAGACATTAACTTTTCCCAGGCACTATCCAATGAGATGGATTGATCAAGTGGCAGCATCGTTGGACTCAAGCATGGCAACAGTAGTGAGGTTGGCCCAGGATCAGGCAGTGTTTCATTCTGCTATTCATAAGGTCACTATGAGTCGGTACTGACTCAATGGCACCTAACAGCAACAACATTCTAATTATTAAAGAGCTCTGGTAGTATAGTGGTTACAAGTCAGGCTGCTAACCTCAAGATCAGCAGTTCAAAACTGCCAGCTGTCCTGAGGGAGAGAGATGAGGCTTTCTGCTCCCATAAAGATTTACAGCCTCAGAAACCCTGTACAGGGTTGCTATGAGTCGGAACTGACTCCACGGCACATAACCACTACCACCATTCTAATTGTTGGAATCCTGGTGTGTTGCTGTAAGATAAGCACTGAACTGCAAGGTCAGTTTGAACTACAGGTTCAAACTCACCTGCTCCTCCTCAGAAACCCTATGCAGGGTCTCTATGAGTCAGAACCCACTCGACAGCATTTTAACAACAACAACATTCTGATTATTATATTGTTGTTGTTACTATTGCCAAAGCTTACATAGTCTTTATATATATGTCAGGCACTATTTCAGGTGCTCTACTTAACTGATTCATTTCATCCTTATGCTATGAGATAGGTTCTGTTGTACCCCTGTGTTACATATGAGGGTATACAAGGGGGTTTAAAAGTTCACGGAAAAAATCCATGTTGTGGTTCCAACCAACCTGCAGCCTAGTGCTTTATCCTGTAATCCCGTGTTTCCATGAACTTTTTGAAGTCACCTCATACATGGATAAACACCACCTCTGATCCCACAGCACTTACAGACTGACAGAAATCTGTACCATTGAATAACTGATTACAGAAGTCTGCCTGTGTATTCGCTACTGAGGAAGCCCATACCAGGGTACCTTCTCTAGGATTAAGACCAGAAAGACCCTTAAAACAGAACGGGAGCAGAAGGGATGGTTGGAAGAAGTGTTGCAAAGCAGAGATCATAGCATGAATACCTTACAGAATGGAAAAGAGCATTTGGGGAAGTGAAAAGGCAAGGTATGGCTGGAATCTGGGCACTGAGAGACTGAGAAGGCAAACTGGTTGGCATGTGCAGAACAGACTGGCAGACTCAAAGATTGCATGGCCAGCAGTGTAGGCCAAAGGGTGGGGTCAATGAGGCAAGAGGATGGGAAACGTTTAGAAGGTAGCCTGGAGAGAACTTGGTGATTAAATGGGTATAAGGATAAGGATGGTTCCCATGTCTCTGGGTGGGTGAACTTCACAGACGTGAAGAACAGTGCCTAGAACAGTTGGCACTGTTGGTGACAGCATTTCTCTGCTGAAATAAAAGTTACAATCAGAACCAATGTTAGAACTTCATGACTCTGGGTAGAAAAAACTCTGCCTATTGACACACACTCTTGGGCCTTTGCAGAAATAGTCTGAGATACTGCTGGGTGCCAGAGCCTTTCTAGTTTTCTTACCCAAACCATCTCCCATCCCGCAGTTCTTCCCCACAGCATCTCAAGGTCTCTCTCCTACCTCATAATTATAGTCAACCCTGTCAGTGACTCTTTCCCTCTGTGTTGCTATCAAGACAGATTAAAGTTTTGTTTAGAGAATGAATAAAAACAGAAAATCACTGAAAAATTAATGGAATTTTTTGGTAAAGTCCAAGTAGACCTAAGTAAAGCCATTTTGGAGAAGAGTCCTCTATGAGTATTTTTAAGGGATTTTGAGTTGTTGTAACTGTCATTAGTTACATCTCTAGCAGTAACTTTGTTGTTCCTGTTATTGTTAAGTACCATCGAATCCTGTGGCGAGTTTCCAAGGAGCAGCTGGTGGGTTCGAACTGCCAGCGTTGTGGTTTATAGTCTAGTGCTGATGCTACACCACCATACCAGAAGTCCTTTGGTAATTTTAAATAAGGGTAAATTCACTAATGGACTGATAATGTCTAACTATTTGGGGGAGGAAACATAGGGGGTTGAATTTATTTGGAGGGCAAAACTATAAATAGGATGGATATCATTGTGGATAAACCAGTGCTTCAAAGCAAGAGGTAATGGGATAGTCATTACAATGTTTAAAACTCTAAAAGATGATTAGGATTTTATTGTTATATTGCTTTCCATTCAAGAAGCTCATGTAAGCTAAACCAAATGTGAAAAGGAAAATTAGTAAGGTTGC